GGGTCAAAAGAGCCCCCCCCCCCCGGTCCCCCCATGTCAAAAAAAGCCCGGTCTAGGTAGGGTTAAAATAACGCGTTAAAAACTCTTCTCCACCGCCGCGGGGCCTGCACAGGAGGCTACCACAACTTTCTAGCGGTCGCCGATCAACCCGTCGGTAGAACGCCAACCATTCCCGAAAACCGAGCCCTATCCACGCAAACAAACTCCCGTAGTCATCGCTGCTGCGAAAAACAACTTTGAAAAGACCACCATGTATGAGATGCTAAAACATGAACAGGAATGCCTTTGTTGTAACATAACCAATGTTCAGACTCCCGTTCTGTGTTGAATATTTCTGCTACTCTCTAAGTCTAAGCAGAGGTTTACGTTTTGGGTTACTAGTATTTTTTTATCGGGGTTTCCTTTTTGCACTGGAATTTTTTTTAACCCAACCCAACTAAAAAATCCAGTGGAAAAAAGAAACCCCGATAAAAATCCTAAAAAACACGCCAAAAATAACCCAAAACCCAAACCTCTGCTTGGAGAATACTAGCTAAGCGCGTGCCAGCCCTCTCCTTGCGAATGTGTGAATTACCCCTGCGCGAACATGTGAATAGCCTCTGTGAAAGTTAATCCCCGTCCATTTTTGGTCGCCGAATGCAAGCAGACTGTACTCTCTGGCGGACCAACTCCCTCGGCATGTTATCTCTTTATTTTTGACCGATTTCTACTCTTTCAGCCGTCTCCCGAAGCCTGGTAGAGGTTATCCCGAACCGTGCCTGTCTCGTGGTGCTCTGTGCCTGAGCATGAGTGGGCACAGAACGGGACACAGCAGCACCGCAAAACTCGCGTCGTTCCCCCTAAATATTAACGTCCCCTGCAGGTCTGCGAAGGAGGCTAGAGCGAGTCTAAAACTTTGCGGCCAGAGGATAGCTGATGGCCACACAGATTTCCGTTTAAATGCGGTCTAAATAAGGCAAAAGTACCGAAGTAACGGGTTCCTTTCTCAGCACTCTGTAGAGGTGAGGCGGCTTTCGTCCTAGATCTCCAGTGCCGAAGGTACGTCAACACTTGGTGTCCAGTGTCGGCGGCTTCAGCACTGGAAACTCGGAATCGGCAAACCAAATCCTGTCTTTAAAAGGGGTATCGAGATGCTGCCTTTGAACTCTAATCGGGACAACAAGGTGGTCGACAGGACAGGACTACACGGCCTCTTTCTAAATACATTTTCATAGTCTGACATAGACTTGGCCTTTAAGACCCTGTTCATACCAGACTTATATTTAGCGGTTTCAACCGGTTTTTCAAAAACCGGTTTTTATTTAACCTGGTGTGAACGCAAATTAACCGGTTTTTTAGGGGTTTAAATCCGATTTTGAAAAACCACCTCGGGAGGTGGTTTTTGAGGGGTTTTTGAAGGGTTTTTCCACCGAAAAACCTGGTCTGAACGCTAAGGGTTTATTGAACCGGTTTTTGCGTCATAATTCCGGGGTCACGGGTCAGCATCCTGACCGTGTGCGACCTGCAAGCTTTTTTGATCGCGTTGTTTTGACCAGCTTTGAGTTCGTTTCCACTGTTTTTCCACGGTTTTTCTTCATTTTGCGATGGAATCAGCAAACGCAACCTGGTCGGCGGACGGGACGCTCCTCAGGTTTGGAGAGCAGGAGTCGCCAAATTCGAAAAAGCTAGGGGGGGGGCGAGGGCTCTACCGAAACAAAAATGTTGGAGGAGGCTGATTTCTTGAAGATAAAGGATCAGTGCCGCACTAAGGTAAAAAAACAAACTGAAGACGGCATACAAGCAAGAAGGCCAAGGACAACAATCAGAAGAGCGGGAGGAACGGTTATTCAAACTGCAGTCATGGCCGATTAATTGGATATTCACCGGACAGGATTTTTACAAAACCGGTTATCAAAAGTCTGGTATGAACGCAAAGGGTTTTAGCCGGGTTTTTGAAAAACCGGTTGAAACCGCTAAATATAAGTCTAGTATGAACAGGGTCTAAAGATACTGTTCTGTACGCCGCGCGGCCGACGTAAGAACCACAAGCCTAGTACCGAAATGGTTTGAGAACTCGGCTCCCAGCGCCAAGAGTCACTGAGCACTAGAACGATCCAGTGAGGAACCCGTTACTTGTGCACTTCAAACCACTTGCTATCCAGTGGTGAACCGCCTCCGAGCACTGGCAAGCGAGTACCGAGTGGAATTCAGCACTGGAAAACCAGTGCCAACTCAAGATTCAGCTCTGGAATTCCAGTTCTGGCGGAGCTTCAGCACTGGAAAATGCAGTTCAGCACTAGAGTCCTGTGCGGAGTTTCCTTCCGCACAGGGCCCCGAGTGCCGACGCCACTTTCCCCGCGAATTCAGCACTGGGTGGCTAGAGAGGAACCCGTTACTTCGGTACTCTTGCTTAAATAAATAAAAAAAAAGGTGTAGGCAAGGACATTCTACGTCCGGCGAGTCGTTTGGTGCACCGGGCTAGATATGCGTTCTTCGGGGAGTCGTCAAGGTTAGATACAGTATGTGATCTATACACTATACACTCTAGTACAGGTTCCAACTCACCTCTGTAGTTTTCAGACGTGGGAGTGCGTGATTCTTGCTTGCCTGTGGCTCTAAGTGCCTCGCGAGGTGGAAACTCCCGGGGCGTACCGGACAAAAAGCTCCTTTATACTATAGCAGAGGCTTCAATGTTCATGGTTGATCATGACGCTTTGCACAAAAGAAAACAACGTCGTTCATTGGTGAAAGGTGGCTGTTCACGTGGAACTATGATTGTGTTCACGTGCTCACCCTGTGTTTTTTAGCGGGCAGAGCTATCCAATCATCCTTTGGTGAATACACATTATATAATAGAAAGGAAATATTGTCGAAAGTAGAAAACAACTTTTAAGGCAATAACCGCACAGAAACGCGCCTCACGTTTTGCTTTTCCACGGTAAGAACATGTCAGTTTCTTCTTGGTTTTAACCTCCTTGCTTTGGTACATCCAAGGAGGTTTAAAATCAATCTCCTTGGTACACCGTAAATTGTCAACCTTGGGCGTTTTCATAATCTTATCAAAATAAAACATAATCTTGGACATGTCCCTTCTCTTTTTCGAAAGGTATGGTAGGAGTCCTAGAGTCCATTCCAAGTCACCGCAGGTTTTTTGAATTATATTTTCAATATTTTCGAATTACTTCCCAATAATTCGAAAATATTATAAATATTCTGAAATTATCATTAAAAATGTTAGTACTTCAGCAGCGTGATTTCGAAAATAGTTGTTTTGTGTATCTTAATTATCATGATGAAGTCATTTAAACTATTGACGGAAAATTCAAAATTAGGGACGCCGTGTCTGTAACGCTACTGCACACTGTTCCAACATTGACCTAACGCATTGGATGGGTTACAGCTGTACTAGCAAAGTCCTATAATGAAAGACTTCAAATTAGAATCTTTTCATTCACTGTACAGGTAACACCTTTTAACGCTCCCTCCTGAAAACTTGGTGGGGGCGGGCACACTGAACACCTGAAGAAAACACCTTTTAATCTAATCAAAACACCTAGCTGACGCTTTCCTTTGTCCCATTCTGAACAAGTCAGCTCCTTTGCTAAAGTACATAATCAAGTTCGGAAACAGTCACTTTAAAAACACGGCATGCATTGTTCTGCAGTCTTCTTGTGGATAAGAAGGAGATGGCTCAAATGTCAAGGAAAGTTGAAAACACCTTTTGAACTGATCACCTCACTGACACGCTCTACACTACCCTGGAAGCCAGAGTACAGCGGGTCGCGGCCGGTTTCTTCTCGGCCCGCCAAGCAACTTTACCCGAGAAACACAGGTAGTTAAACTGTGCCATGTTTACTAGATAAAAGGGTTTTAGGAAATAGTGAGGATACAATAAGTACCTGGAGCAGTCTGGCATATGAAGTAACACCACCGGTCGCAGTGTCGCCTATGGCTTCTTGTTTTTTTTGCACTCACTCTAATATGCATCATAAAAACATGAAGATAATTGTACAAATAAGATGACGTGCGACCATTTGAACATGTGTGGAGTACAAGCTAAGTGGAAAGAGCTTTCAAGTTGGTAAAGAAAACAGTGGGCGCTTTAATAGAAACCTTCAGTCAACAGGCCTTGTCAAGCATGTTCTCTGAAATCACCAAACAAATCGAGCTAAATCTCCACTGTATACATACCGGAACTATCATTGTGTAGAGCTACCCTGGATTAAACTTGTGAGAACACTTGCAAAAATGCTTACCTGGAAGCTACCCTGGAAGCCAGAGTACAGCGGGTCGCGGCTGGTTTCTTCTCGGCCCGCTAAGCAACTTTACCCGCAAAACACGATCCAGCTGGCGAGGTTGTTGCACCGTGGTTGTTGCCGCTTTAAGCACCAATCAGAATAACCATATATTTTCTATTCAAAGAAAGCCTTCTTTGCTGGGGACAAACAGACTGATTGTTCTTGAAAGGGTTTCGATGAATGTTTCTGTTGCAATATCTATGTTAGGAATACTCTCTGAAATGATAGAGCCCCAGTCAATGTCAGAAAGTTTGGAATTCAGTCCATCGTAATCTGCTTTGCCAAAGTAAAATACAGCACGTTTGTAAGCTGCAATACGAGGGACTTTAAGGACCATTTTTCCATAGGTAAGAGAATGGTCACAATTTGACAAAGGCGGGTTCGTCCCACAATCCGAGAACAAACTGGGTGAGTCTGTAATTAAGACATCAAGCAAGGATGACGTGGTGTCAGTTATGCGGGTGGGCTCTGAAATCAGCTGTGCAAAGTTGTTGTCAGATATAAATCTATTGATCATGCTAGCGGCGTTGTCTGAATATCAATTGATGCAGGTGTTCCACAAGGGTCACTTCTCGGCCCATTGCTCTTTCTTGTATTTATAAATGACCTTGTTGACAACCTATACTTTAGAGGTGTTCAGCTGACTGAAACCCCCTCTCACCAGCACCTTGGCTTACATCTCACTCCAAATTTATCATGGTCACTCCACGTGTCAACTCTGGTGACGAAAGCAATGAAGCGAGTTAACTTGTTGACAAGAATATCAAATTTTGTGCCACGGAAACGCTTGAAATCTTGTACAAAGCCCATAGAAAAGAATATCCAGCAAAGAATTCCTCTTTCATTTTGTCAAAACTTGATCGGAGTTGAGCGTCCACGAGTTCCGAGACTCGCTTGAGCTCGCGGGTTGTCGTACTGGACGACATAAAGATCAAGAGTGGGGCCCAACCGACGTCACAATGAATAAAATAAAAAAAATAAAAACCATAAGACCATCATGGCTCCTGTTACTAAATTCTAAATACTAAATCATTCTACATGTCATCCCTGCTAATTCCTCTTTTTTCTTTCTTTTCAGGACCTCCATAGACGACAGGCGGGACTCACCACTACTGAACAGCGGCTCCTCGAACAACTGCAGTCAAACTGACTAGTAAGACTTATGACTAAAACTTTAGTATTTTTTCCAAATATTCCCACAAATTTTATCTCGATTGTGACCCCACTTCTACCTTTCTCGGTCAGCACACGTTTTGCCACTACTACGGAAGCAAGTCACCCTTTCTTCTTCAGTACTCGCCAAATCTCTTAGGAGAAAGTTCCACGCTGAAAGTTTCTTTCCTAGAACTGCGTCACATATACGGAACAAGCTTCCTTGTGAACGCTCCCCAAATGGGTACAACCTTTTCTTTTAAGGTGAAGAAACATCTGTCTTTTTGCAGTTCACGCAGTTGTGGGGTCGTCTGGCGTAGCGGCAGAGTGCGCGACTCGGAACTTAGAGTCCCGGGTTCGAGTCCTGACATGCCACCGATCTTGTGCCCTTGGGAAAGGCACTTTACACGACTTTCCTCACTTCGCTCAGGTGTAAATGAGTATTGTCCTGTCATGTATTTGTCCCCTGTGTTGGTGGCGGCATTAATATAAGTTGAAAAAACTTGAGTGTGTCGTCACCACGTCTGGTGATTACATGTTGGAATAAAAAAAAAGTTCACTTTTGTAACCCAAAAATGTGAGTGGTTCGGATGAGCCTTCGTTTGAGATGAAAATTGTAGTAAATAGAAAAAATAATCACAGAAGAAATACTGAATAGAATGTTATTTGAAGCAGTACTGTACTATTGTAGACACTCTTCAGTTTCCAAAAGGAGAGAATTTACAGTTTAGGTTTTATGCCTATCATTAGATGATTGACATATAATCTATAGAGTTGTATATTCCACATAGTCTATACATTCCCTTTATTCATCATCATCATTATCCTTTATTACTTCACCCCAAGAGAGTGTAGACAAAGTGTCGTTTTGAGCTTAGCTTACCGCTGCCTCTAGTGGTTAGGATTTGGCGCTCTCAGAGCAAAGGCCCGGGTTCTATTCCCGGTGTAGGAAAATCATTTTTGTGTATGTATGACAACGTTGGTGCATGCGCACATGTCTGTAAAAGTCACAAGATTTTACTGATGACAATAAGAATGCTCTCTTATTATGTTTACCGAAGGAAACATATTATATTTGCTCTGTTTCCTCTTCCTCTTCCGTTCCAAACACCTAAAAAACGTCCATATTTTCGTGATTAGAGCTTGGAGGAAAATGAAATTCAGCATGCTGGTAGGTTGGTACGTTAGACATTGAACCTTGGTCATTTTGGCCAACATAGATGTCAGAAAATGATTTTATTGGCAAAAAATGGGTGAAAAAAGTTGCATTTTAAGCCAAAAATCGAACAAAAAGAACGCGTTTGGAACATTCGAACAACCATGGAACAATGGAACAGCGTGTTCGATAACCGCGGTCAATGACCCTAGCGCTACGCACGGAACACCCGAGATTTCCAAATATGGGCATCCGCCCTTGTATGACACGAGAAGAGATCGGTGGATCAATGTCAGCGGTCAGTTTTCATTTTTCTTCGTAAAATACGGTCATATGAATACCAGTCTCGAGTAGAGAATATTGCATTGGGATTTGGGGTTCAATATCCACAATTAGGACTGCGGATTTCCACAGAACGCCGGCGACTTTGTGTAATTTTTTGCATGTCACCGCCGGACTCAATAAAAAAAAACAACTCATAATTTACACTAGCTCCTGACTTTATAGAATCTCGTATATATAGAGATTTAGGCTTGCTGCCGTTTTGAAAATAAAGTAAACAGAATTGTGTTCATCCGTAACTATTGTCGACTTTGTAATGTAGGTGCGGGACAGGGGGAGGGGGGCGTTTGTTTACGTTTATATAAACATGGATGTAACATTACATTTTGTCGTTTTGTCAGACAGTTTCAATCTTTTTCGGGATAACACAGTACAGTACACGGGATAAGCATCAAATCGGGATTCATCGGGATATCCCGGGATTTTTCGGGAACCATGTTGACTAAGATTTTTACAGACAGACGGTGCAGCGCATGTTTGTTTCCAAATTATGCATGATGATAACAGTAGCACAAACGAATAGTGTTTTTAATCAAATGTTGTTTTTTTTGATATCGAAAATTTTAGTGGCTTAATAATGTTTAGAACGATAACAAAATAATACAACCGTCTTGGTACGAGAATTTCTGTCTGACCTTGCGATGTGGACGGCCCTAAGTACTGCTTTTGATGTCACCCGACCCGCGCTATCTCAGATATAAAAATCTAACACATCCACGTGCCATGTCGCCAGAAGTTCATT